GTATATGTTTACTGATCTCAATGTCCTTGCATTGGATCAATAAAGTTTATTTTATGTCATCAGGAAACTTTTTCTGTTTTCCTTGTGTAAAGTAAAAACAAACAAACAACTGAGACACTTTAAGTCAGCCTTTCCTGTATTTAACAAAAGAATCAGCCCAAAAAGAGAGTTAAAAAGGCTTTTCATTTAACAGTTAATTTCCACAACATTTGAGTCTGTGTGAATGTAAATAGCTTTTTGTGATGTTATCTAACCTGTGTTGTTTACTAGTCTAACCTGTCTTTAATGACCTGCAGTTTTTATGCTTTTACTACAGGACCCATTTAACCACCACTGTGACCTTTACTCTTTCCTCCAGGAGGGTTAATTATATATCATTTCAAACAGCAGGTTTCTATTCAAAATAACTCTTTAAGGATATGCATGGGATATTCTTGTGCATTTTGTCTTGTTTGCTGAGCTTTAATGAGGGGGCCCCTGCTGCTTCTCGCCTCTATTGTAATGCAGGCCAGGTTTATAATCCACTCCTGGCCCGGGCCACTTTACACCTCAGTGAACATTGTGGACTCCCGCTGAGTTTGGATGGGATTCAGTGACCACCCCTTTACGGGACACACTCACACACACACACGTAAACACTGGAGACATACACACCTGCTACACAAACCAAACAGCTCCCCTGTTTCTCCTCCAGCGTTCTGGTGTCCGATCTCTTTGTCTTGCAGGTGTCCGTTCCTCGAGTCAAAAGGTGAACAAATAGAGAAACAGGGACAAGCCATTACTCAGAGAAGTGATGTGAACAGCATTTTGACCTCAGAGGTCACCGCTGAAAAGAATGTGGACTTAATGACCATCAGGGGAAAGATAAATATTGCAGACATTATTAAACAGACAGAAGGTGGGACAAAGATATCTATAATGAGTTAGCAGGAGGTGGGGGGAGTGGACCTATAACATCAAAGCATACCATGTCATCCATTTGCACAGCAAGCTTTCAAGGGTGGGGACTTTGGTCATTAGGGTGGGGAGCTTGGGCAGGAGTGGGAGTCATCAGGGCTTTTATAACACTTCATCCCTCATAAAAGAGCAGCGTCTAAAAATAGGGGCAAGTCAAAATGACGTCTCTGGTAGGTTAAACAGCAATATTTGCTCTCTGGGTAGTCAATCCCCCTTCAAGAGGTTGTAGGTAAAAGTGTCACACTGGTAGAATATAAACACTCATTAAGGTTTTTTTAAACATGACAAACCATATTTTTGCATCATCAGATAATTTGTGTTATGAATCCTCTTGTGGACAGAGACAGAACTGCTATCAAAGCACAGCAACAAGGCTGGTAAAAGAACAAAATAATCACACTGCCAGGGTACACACGCACTGTATCTTTTTATGCTAAGGACAAATGTTGATACACACACATACCTGAGCAGTGGTGGACATGCTTGGAAAGTTATTAAGTACTTTCACTCAAGTATTAGACCTAAAAACAGGTTTAGGTTTCAGGGGGAAATATTGTACTTTATATTTACATTTATCTGACAGCTGGAGTCTCCGCGGATTAAGATTTTACACACAAAACACACGATTAGCTTATAAAATTGGATCCACTGTGCTTCCAAACATTATATACAGTAGATACAGTGAGTCCCACCTCAGCCAGCAACAACATAAAAATGCTACTTTTACATTAATGAATCAGCAATAAAAAATCTACTAAGATATCTAATAATATATGTAAAGTGAATTAAGAGTCAATGAAATCCATGAAAAGAACAAAGCCAGCAATTAATTAAAAAAACTAACAAGTATTAATTGTGTATCTAAAGTCCCCCTTGGATGAACACTGAGGTGTTTGATGAAAAACAAATCAATGAGCACTGTAGTGTACTTGGATTTTCAGTCACACATACAGATTAATATCGCAGCGGTGGATGAAAACAGTCCCCAACAAGTTCTCTATTTTCTTTGGTCATGTGACATTTTCTAAAAACTATACAATACTCAACCGTTTCAGGAAATTACTGCGTATTTTTAAAAAGTGAAATGACCCCTCAAAGTATTGAGCGACATTCGAACACATTGTTGTTTCTGGTCTTTCCAAGGGATTTATTGACAATAACAAAAGGACAGAATATTGCCTGTCTGTATATGCCTTTTACTGGAAGTATAATATGATGATCATGCGTTGTACTTTTACTTAAGTGAAGTTTAAATTGCTCGACATTTACTTAATAAATTGTGGTATTTTTTTTGCTACTTAAGGATCTGAAAACTTCTTCCACCACCAGTAGAACATAATTCAGTACAATTAAAAAAGTTAAGTATAATTTTAAAGTATTTCAGGTAAATATTGTACTTTTTACTCAACTATATTAGTGGATATGTATGTATATATACATACTGTATTATTTTACAGCTACTTTCAACATGATCATCACATGTGTGTATAAAGCAATTACAATTAGCTACAGTGCAACCAACTACAACATAAAGATGCTGCTTAAGTACGATGATAATGTCCTGTTACTTAACTTTTTGCCAGGACTTTTACTTGTAATACTCTTACATTATCAGCATATGATCCTAATACTTCCCCCACCACTTAAAAAATATTACGCTCATATGAATGTTCACGGCAAGTTCAGGTTTATGTTTACTTGTCATTCCAACTATAAAAACCTACACAATTATTGTTTCTCTCAGGGTATAATATCAACAAAACCTCAGACAAAACATAACTGTGCAGTCTATGGCAATACCCACAATGACAGAATGACTAGAATGAGGGTAAATCATATTATTAGCTACTTTGTTGCCATAACATATGATACTTTTCCTTCAACACCTCGGACTCCCCGGAGAAGAGACATTCTGCATGAGCATGCCAGAAAGCCACCTGTGTGCCCCAGAGTTTGTGTGTCTAAATACTGGCCCAGCTCCATAGAGGGAGGTGGCACCGAGCAGAGGGTACAAGTGGAGGAGGAGGGTGTGATGGTGATGATTTAGGAGTTTTGGGGCAGGAGGGGTTCTCAAAAAGTCAGTGTTAATGATCACATAGAGCCCAGCGAACAGTGAAAGCATTGTAACGGCTAGAGCTTACCACTGCAGAGCCCGTGCCTGCTACTGTCTGAATGCATACAAATCGGAGCTTGACGGCCACCTGTTGTGGATTCTTGCCTTTGACACTGCTCCGCTCTGCTGGTGAATGGTGGGTGTGGTGTGGTCTAGTTCTGACCCAGACTTGAACTCCCTTACAGCTGTCACTGTTCCACACAGCTATTCCAAAACCCTCTGGCACAGACAGCGGTACTGGATGCTACAGCGAGGGAAAGGGAGGACAGAGCGAATAAAAGATGCCACAGACAGACGGGTCTAAAAATGAATGTATTTCACATACAAAGCTGTAGAATAAGTAAGAAGGCCAAACATGTATCTGTTCTTGAAGATGACCTTGATTTAGAACTATGTTTCTTCCTGTATGCTGTTGAGAACATACAGGCAGAATGTTTGTTTAAATAATGTTGGATTTCAGGTACAAATAGGATTTTTGGAAAGTAAGAAAGTAATCTCTAGTACTTTACTTCAGTGTTTTCCAATTAGTGCTATTTAATACTACATTTATCTGATATACTGCAGATTTTAATTTTTATCACAAAACATAATGGCTACAGGTTAAACTACAAACCATTATATAAACAGTTACATTGGTCCGACCTCAACCAGCTACAACATTTAATTGCTGATTACAGTTTGCAGCCAATAATAAAAATCTAATAACATGATGATATCACACTCACAGGAGCCATTCTGCTGCATAATGAACACTTTTACTCTTGATATTTTAATATAATAATAATTGGCTTATGATACTTCCCTACTTTCACTAAGATTTTTTATTAAGATTTCACTTGTAATGTAATACTTTTGAATTTATATTTCTACTTTTATTTAAGTAAAGGTTTTAATATGTTTTTCCACCACTGGTTTATACTCTTGTCTTCACACATATGTAAATGTACATTACAGCTAGTAGTTCTGTAAAAATGTAAAGAAAATGGAGCCAGCCCTATTGCAAAGCACAGCCTCTGATGATTAAATGAAAGTATTTTACTCTACAGTCGGACACTACAGATAAATGTAATAAATAAAAGTTATTGTCTTGTGATGCTGTGATGATCAGTGATGTTTGTTAATGTGAATATTCTTGGTTGTTTGTGTGTATGAACTGGAACGGAAAACCGATGAAACTGGATGATCTGTTTTAGGACTAAACTTATGGAAATGAAGAGGAAGTATAACTGATTTAAAAGATAATTTTGTGCTGTTTGGTGTAGGGAAAGATCATTTCAGAGACTGTTATAATGTATACATTGTCACCCTGTATTCACATTAGAAAATCCACTGTGTTCATCACCATTTCTGTTGTCTATCTGGAGGCCCATAAAAACTGTATCTGCATGTGAAAGACACTCATATCAATTAATTATAGAATATTTTTTTTTACTTACTTCTCTGTCTAAAATTGAATGCTTTGAATAGCTTATACTGTCTTTATACAACGTCACAGTATTGTTGCTGTAAATTCTGTTCTCTGTATTGAGTTTTATGAAAATGTTTATGTTTTATTTTTATCCATCTCTTCAATGACAAATGAGTATAACTGAAGTATACAGTCAATACAAGGTTAGGCATTAAAAGCGGTTTACAAGTCCGGGTTATTTAGCATGTAGCTCCATCTGCTGTTCAGATAATGCAATTACATCCTTATAACGCCAATAACGGTTTAAGTGAAGACGACTGAAAATAGAGTGAAAATAGTGAAAGGTAAGGTGTAGATAAAGGACCAAAATTCAACTTAATGCGCATAAAAGGCGAGAAAGAGCTAAAAACTCAGAGAAACAGACACAAAATCGGGTTTACTTTGGAAAAATAGGACGCATCCGCCATATTCCCTGAGATTCCTGAAATAAGGAAGTTGGCCCACCTTACTGCAGGATTGCATAGGTGAGGGAGTGGCCACCTGCCACCTTCTGCTCGACTAACAGTGTGAGACACACACTGTCAGGCCTGGACTCTCCGGGAGGAATAACGCTGTCTGTCAAGCTTTTATTCTCAGAGGAATTCAATCAGAATCAGGTAAGACACCAGATTAATAGATCTTTATGTTTTATTTCAACTATGGAGATTTCCAGCTTCTGCTATAGTGAAGAGAATATGCCATTACAACAAGTGCTTGCAATAGGCCCACTTTTTTAGAGGTTATAAACGGATAGACACTTAAGGCATTTAAACCCTCACATAAGTTTAAAAGTGCAGATTTGTTGTTTGACTGCTCATAAACAACACCTATTTCTCCTTTGTGACAGATTTGAATTAAGTTGACTCCATGCAAAATGTGTGAAAGTTGGCTTTGAGGCTTGAATAACTTGTGTTTTCAAAGGTAATGCATTGACTTGTAATGGCACAATGTTTGAAGCACAAACAGCCATTTTCTCAGAAGTTTCGCAGAAGTGTGTTCATTATCAAAGCAAGTCTGTGCAGGTGAAGAAGCAGCAGCCACATTCCAGTGCCTGGGGTCATGACGTTGCAATATGCAGACCCTCAGCACAACACTGTTTAGAGAGCAGCCCTGCCTGAATACCTGCCTGTGTTGACAAGCACCTACCAGGAAAAGAGGCTTCACTGTAACTGCTGTGTCTCTATAAGAAAAGAAGTGGCTCTTTTCCCATTGTTTAATTCAGCCACGTGTTGACAATTCCCAGATTTCCAGTTGAAATACCTGTTATACAAGCATCAGATTTTTTTCTCAAAAACATCAAATTACGTTTGAAAAGGACATACCCACTTCAGCTGGGTAGGTAGCATAGTTGTAATGTGACTTCTGGGAATTTATTGCCCACACACCCCACCTGATGACACTGGAGCAGATATAATACAGTCAGGAGTGCATGTCATGACAGATTCTGGCAAAGACAGTGTGTCTTCAATTGCGCGAGACTTGTACACATTGAACCTAAACCTAAAATATATCTGCTTACAGTATTTTCTATTTTTTTTATATAAACACAAAACATGAGCAAACAATCTTTGCCTTAGATTTGTTTAAAAAGAAACATTTTCAACATGATACATACAGAGTGGAAAATTTTTTGTTTATTTTGTGATAAACTGTAATGGAGACACTGTTTCTAATTTACACATAATAACAAACTTGTTTGACATTTTTTCACCGCAGTTTCTTATCAGCCAACATATATGCTAAAGATTATTTTCATTAGCAATTTCCTAGAGATTACTCTCCATGAACTGTTTTCTCCTTAAAATGTCAGAAAATAGTGGAAAATGTTCATAACTCAATTTCAGAAATGTGACATCTATTAAATATCTGGTTTTGTATGACCAATGGTCAAAAATTATTCAGTATAATATTATTCATATTGATATTCAGTTTACACCGATATAAAACAAAGAAAGAGGTAAATTATTCCTGTGTTACTGTGGAATGTTGTATGTGGAATGTAAAATTACTTGATTTGTTGATTATGAAAATCTTTTGATTGGCGATTAATCGACTGATTGTTGCAGCACTAGACGTGTGCACTGATATTGATATAGCTGCAGTATGCTAATATTGGGCAGTATGTCAGGCTGCAGGATTTATCGGTCTAGCTCTAGGAACTTTATGAATATACTGAACATAATTTACAGCATTATAGCCTGGCAACAAGTTCGGGAACAATACTTTATATATTGCATACACAGTTGTACATCTTTAAATTGTAGTTTTTTAATATGATGATATGATGAGAGAACATTTCTCTAATACATACTGCATTGCTTAATGACTTTCTGTGTAGCCTCCTCTTTCTCTCAAGTGCAGCCTCTTTGAAGTTTGTTGCCTCTCCACCGGTTTCTGTGAAATTTCATTCTCATTTGTCACAATCTGTCGCCCTGAATCAGTCCCAGTCAGTCTCAACTCTCCAGCAGACACTGTACGTTTCTAACAGAGCAGCTCAGAAATGGAAGAATGGCAGCGATGTGGTGTGAAGAAATAACTCCTAATCCAAATGTTTGGGTACTGAATATTCCTATTTATTGTCCCGCTGCAATGTTGAAAGAGCTCGTTCACTCCACCTCGGTCTCAGTTTGTGATCAAATCTCCCTCGGGAACAGTTGTTACCATAACAACTCAAGTGCCAGCATGACAGCTTGTGAGAGAAGCAACAACAGTGTGAGCTTAGAAAGTGTCGCTTTTGTTCGCTTAAAACAACCAGATAGCTGTTAAAAACAACGAGAATAAAGGACTTCGTGGCAGTCAATGATTTGAATTAGGGGCTTTTTTTGTATTGTATTGTTTAGTGCTTAATATTTGTTTACTTTCTGTGAGTCTGCTTAACAATACTGCCCGGCTGGCAAAGAAATAGACAAGTTCTATAAAATGATATGAAAAGCTCAATATGCCTTTCATAAAATGAAGTGAAACGACCACACAATACTAGCGCCAATATGATATTTGAGTTTTTGTTTCGTTTTTTGATCTGTACTGGAAAAATGAACGGTTTTCTACAAAATCCTTTTTTTATATTAAGCAAAATAAACCAAACTCTTCAAATGTTAAACAGTACACAGGGAGCAAAAACAAAAAAAACAAAAAACAAAAAAACATACATAGAAAAATAAAAAAAATTACCAGGCATTCAATGTAGGGCTGCAGCTGTGATTATTTTCATTAATCATTTAATAATTACCGGTAGTTGTTTGGTATGTAAATATGTAAAGTGTGAAATCAAAGTGACATTCTTAAATTGCTTATTTTATCTGATATTTAGCTTTCAATCAAATGAGAAAACAAAAAATCATCACCATGAAGAAGAGGGAACTAGGAAAAGTTTGGCCTATTTTGCTTGAAAAATGACAAAAGATTGATTGATTTTGACGAATTTACTAATTATTTAAGCTCTAATTTGATACCAATTTTAGGTAGCTGACCGACTTTAATACTGACACCTTATCACCAGTATGGACCCGTTTCCCAACAGACATGTCAAAGCAGGAGAAGGACAGGTGTAATTATTAACATTAACGATGACTGTATGTCTATTAGGTTCCTGTTCCAGCGTTCGGTATTGTGCACGTGCACTAGAGAGGCTTAACTTAATGTAACAGTGTCACCTTTTAATGTTAATGTAATCACCTGTACCTTGTCCGTCTTTATCTGTGCCCCATTGTTTGGGGTTGTAGTGTTTAAGTGTTAAAAACTAAAACTAGACAAAAATCAAGTCTCACAAACATGTTACCTGAAAGAGGCCAAAGGTCTCTTCCCCCCCCCCAGTTTCTTCTGTTTTACATAAATTTCATCTGATATTTACTATTTATTATGTAATAAGCTATTATAGGGATGCAGGATAACTATCAGGGCAGATCATTTATCGGCCAATAATGAGAGAATTTATATTATTATAAATTATCCAGATAATTAAATTGTAGCAAATAAATGATCGGTCCATAATAATTATTATTTATTTTTATTTCTTATGCAAGATGGTTGAGAGGCTTTGTGCTGTGTGAAAGTCAAAGTATGTTTGTGAAGTTTTTTGATACTTTAGTAGAAAAAAAGAAATGAACATTCATGAGTCAGAGCTGTTGTTTGTTGTTGTTGTTGTTGTTGTTGTGTTAACTAGAGTGATGCCAGTTAGATTTGGTTAGAACAGAGCTATGAAGTATTAAATCATCCATCTTTTTTTAAAATACAAAAATGTGATCTTACCGGTATTGACCATGAGTAGCAGGTAATTTTTAGGTTTCATATGCTGAAAAAAAATCATATTGTGCATCCCTATAAGCTATTTATGGATAACTCTGTCCTTCCTCATTTCTCTTAGAGACGTGATACATGCATAATATTTTGGCGCCGCAGATTTGGCAATGTTGTCTGAGCATTTGAAGCAATCTGTCATGTATATAGCCCACAGTATGTCACTAGGTTTACTCACTGTTTCTTCCACGTGAGCCAAGGAATGTTTTTGTGTATCCACGGCTCCACATACTATAATCCATCTTACAAGTACTCTTAAACTTCACCCTCTGTCTCCTCAATCCCCTCTTGTCAGGCCTCCCACACCCAGGTGATGGTGCAACATGCCGGCCGTGCTGCACACTCATCTTCTCTCTCTTTCCCTTTCTCTCTTTCTCACTATACACATTTACACACACACACTTACACACAAACACACCCACACAGCCCTGCTGGGGAATTCATGGCCTCAGGCTAACAAAACACAACCCTGTCCAACAGCGGCGGCAAGCCCCGAGAGAAACTAACACAGCTCCGCTCCCTCACAGCAGACTAACAGCATGGAGTTTCATTTATGAGAAAACACGTTCTGACAGCCAAAAGGCACTTTTCTGACGGATGCTATTGTGAGGTGGGTAACTGAAGTGAACAGAAATCTCTACCTCATAGTTAGGTGTGTTGTCGAGGTTGTTTTAAAGTATTTTGCCCAATCGTACTCTGTTTGCTGAGTCAACATGCCCTCAGATGTTTGATTGACAGGGTGATATATTAATGTGAGGAGGTGAGAGCGGCTCTGGATGTATTTTCCTGATTTTTCTATTTGATGCATCATTAGGTTGCTGCAATATCACATGTAACCTGAAAGTTAAATCAAATGCAGGCTTTGGAGATTTGAGTTGACTGTTTCCAGTTGTGTAGTAGTGGCTGTGGTTGTGGTTGTGTGCTTAAGTTTTTACGATCTCTAGTAACAGTCACCATGTTTGTTTAAAGCTATGTGGTTGAAGCCGAATTTCCTGTTGCTGGGATGTATTTCATAAGAGGTATTCCTGTCTTAAAGGAATAGTTGACATTTTGGGAAATCATTTTATTTGCTTTCTGTCAAGAGTTCTTATGTCTGTAAGGTTAATATGAAGCTACCACCAGCAACCAGTCAGCATAGCTTAGCACAAAGACAGGAAACAGGGGGAAACAGCTAGCCTGGCTTTGTCCAAAGATTAAAACATCCACCTATTACTAGCGCTATGCTTACCAGATAACGAGTGAACAATCTTCTTTGCTTAACCGTTAAAACTTCTAGGTGACACCAGGAAGTCACTGCACCCGGCCTAGAAATAGTCTGATACATAACCCCCCCCCCCCTTAAAACTACAAATTGTCTTTTTATTTTTTGGCTTTTATACATATTAAACAAACAAAATAGTGCTGATTAGCTCAAAGCCTTAGAGGTGCTGGCAGGCAGATAATTTAACTTTGTACAGAACCAGGTTTGCTGTTTTCCCATGTTTTCAGTTTTTATGCTAAGCTAAGCTAGCCGTCCCTGGCTCTAACTTAATATTGAACAGATGTGGTATCAATCTTGTCATCTAACTCTTGGCAATAAAGCGAGTAAGAGTGTTTCCCAAAATGTCAAACTATTGCTTTAAGAAGGACAGAAGAGCTTCTTCCCTGCTACATTTGGAATTTTTCACTTCAGATTCTTGCTTGGAGGATGAATCAACACTGGTTGCATAACAGCCGAGAGCTAAGAAGGTACTACACGAGTTTGTTAGTCACCCTGTTTGTTATTCAGAGTTGTTTGGTTTTGGATAGCTTTAGGTGTTTCAGGTCAGCAGCCCTGTTTCCTCTTCCATACTGCATTTTCAACAGATATGTATGATAAGTTTTGCATTCAAGCAGAAGACCTCATTGATATAGATGATACAGGTCTCCACACTTTCACAATTTGGCTTTATGAATCACACAGGCCCTCACTTGAAATCACGGTTAGGAAGGAATTTAATCAGCGGATCTGAGAGTCAAATGATGTGAGTCATAGACACCACATGGCACAAGATCATAGCATCAATGTGAAGCGTAGCATGACAGTACTACTATGATGAAGCAAGTCACAGAACAGTGTGTACTCTTGTGTTAAAGACATAGTATTGTCGTTACAGACTCCCGTTTTTTTTTTTTCCTGGACCACAATCTTTAAAACCAGCACTTTATTATATAAAACAGACTGTCTCTCTTCCATTTTTTTAAAAAAATGTGTGTACTAAAGGTTAAAGATCTAGAAAATGGTCAGCTGATGTTTCCCTACTCATTTTAAAATCTTTAAGTATTTTTCTTTTTGTCTGTCGAAAGGAAGATGTGGATATGATGGTGCCCACCCAGCCGTGACAATGTATGAGGTGATGTCCGGTGACACCCTGTCCTGGAAGGTTCCCAGTCCAAGACAAAGTGCTTCAGAGTCCAACCCCGAATCAGAATTCACTGGAGACGAAGGGGCCATCAAGATCCTCAAAGTGTGCTTCTGCACCAACAACAACCTGGGCAAGAACTTCAAGCTGGTTAAATGTGACAGCTCCTGGCAAATTAGGGTAAGAGTGATATATATGGGGAAGTGTGGTACCCGGTGATAAAGACCGTGATAATGAGAGAAATATTAATGAAATATTTGAGTATAGTTAAGATTACAAATTTGAAGAAGACCTGTCACAGTGAAGGTGGTTTTTTTTGTATTTGAGCCAGAAATCTCAGGGTGAAAAGGACTTTAGACTTGGACAGACTTTATTTGTCATTTGGATTTGCATCAAAATGAAATGATTGCATTTTTAAAAATTAAATAAGCAGGAAAAGATAATAAATCCTTTATCACAGCACGAATAAACTTCTTCTCTCTTTGATTGAACAGCAACAGGCAAACACAAAAGTTTAACATGTAATCTCCAGTGCTTCCTCTAATAAACCTTTCATCAATCAGTCAATGTGTTAGCCACTCCACAACAGCAAATATTAACCACAGCATGTCTGATTCCATCTCCTTTAGGCCATCATTCGTTCGATTCTGGTCAGTGGTCGTTTGGGGCCAAATGTCGAACACGCAGGATGCTACGGTCTCCTGCTGAAGCACCTAAAGTCAGAAGAAATTCACTGGTTGCATCCAGATATGACTGTTGGGGAAGTGGAACAACGTTACGAGAGCCATCATGTGGAAGCTGAGTGGAGGTACAGATTGATTACTCTGACGTTTGTCTCTGATTTTATCTTGTAGAGCGAGACATCTACAGTGTTTGATATTTAAAGTATTTTATAAACTTGCATGGTGTGTCTGTTTTCTGTCTGAATGTATGTATGTAGGTATGACCTTCGTATCAGATACGTTCCTGTTAATTTCCTGGAAAAATTCAAAGATGACAGATCTACGTTGCTGTATTTTTACCAACAGGTAATGAGCTATAATGTATTTTATTTTTGTCTGGTATAGAAATGCCCTCTTGTTTTCATAAATTTGTGGATGTTCGGCACTAAGAAGTGTTGTTTTCATACCATATAAGAGATTATTATCAATATTATATATAACTAATATTACTTTTTAACATTAAGCATTAACTGTTGGTGGCACTTCTTTGTGAAACTTTGTTTCAAACAAATCTACATATAATAATAAAACAGGGACATAAAATATATGCTACTAGGCCACTGGAGCCATTAAAGGACCAGTGTGTATTATATGGCATATAATGATGTAGTTGCAGATTGCAACTTCTTTGCTTCTTCTTCCCCTTCCCCCTTCTTGCCCTATCTAGAGCCAGTGTTTGGTTTGTACATTCTGGGCTACTGTAGAAACATGGCGGCTTAACATGGTTGACAGATAAAAACGTCTCATTCTAAGTTAACAAAAACACAATGATTATTTTCAGGTGACTATACACTAATGAATATTATATTCCATTTCTGCCATTAGAGCCTCCTAAATGTTACACACTGGACCTCTAATTATACAAATTATGGGCTATTATAGGCTTTTTTTGCAGTAATTACCTTGAACTTAGTGTAGTCCCTGTCATGCTTCTGACAAAAACATACAGATTTTTAATTATAGTAGGTCATCAGTGCACAGGTAAGCAGTTTGCCCTTACCACCTTTCTGCATTTAGCAGTACATGAAAGCAGTGTGATAGGAAGTGGGAAAATGACAATAAATACAAAATAAATCTATATGAATTTTAATTTAGCCATCATACCCAAGTGTGTTTTACAGTAGTGTACTAGTACAGTATAACTGTGGTATATATTTATATATTTGTATATCTGATTCCTCTGTTTCATTTTATGATAGGTGCGCAGTGATTACATGCAGTATCATGCCAGTAAGGTCAGTGACGGGATGGCGCTGCAGCTCGGCTGTTTGGAGATCAGGTGAGTCACTGCATTCTTCTTTCTTTTTCTGTGGCTGATCAAACTTTTAATTTAATTAGTTTTAGTGATAAGGGCTTGACGAGTTAAAGAACATTTTCTTGTGTTGCATTTATTAGTTGCTGAGATGACGTTTTCTTTGTACTCTCTTTTTACAGGAGGTTCTATAAAGACATGAATGCAAAAGGTCTGGAGAAGAAGTCCAACTTTGAGCTGCTAGAGTAAGTTTTTATTTTTCCTTAATCTTAAACTGTAATTTTGGCGACATCAGTTCTCTCAGACTTTATTCTGTATGGGTTGGTAGTGAGTCTTGAGTTAATTAAACCCTTTTAAAAGCCCCATAAAGTTATAATGACTACCATTTTCTTTTTTAAATTAACATTTGTACTTTACATTTAGAACATATGATTTTAATCTAATCATTCTGAATTTTGATTTACAAATGAAGAAAAGAAGTGGGCCTGGACCTTTTCTTTCCTCAACAGCTGATTAACAGCATGAAGGTAAACTATCCAAGCCATGATTTCAATTGTTAATAATGAGACGACCTCAAATGTATTTATATTTATATATAATGTAAGTAAAAAAAAAAATCTATTTTAAACTTCACTGTTTGTGATCTAGGCAAGGCAGCTACGGAAGTTGATCCAGCAAACGTTTCAACAGTTCTCGACACTCAAGGAGGACGACTGCATGGTCAAGTTTTTTGAGACCCTCCAAGATTTCGTCAATTATGATGAAGAGGTTTTCCCATGTGAACTAGTTGTGAGTAGCAACATTATGTTCAGTGTGATACTGAGCAACAAAAGATCTCTTCCCCTGTTATAAACATCAGGAGCTTCTCTTGCTCACGTTAATATTACAAACATTTAACCACTCTCACTTGTCAACAGCAAGGCTGGAGTCTGTCGGTGGAGCTGGTCATCGGTGGGAGGGGAATTCGCCAACGCACACAGAAGAATTCAGCGGTAAGCATGATGAAGATTTAGGTCTTATTTAAGACAGCTGTGACCATTTATCTATCTTAATCTACCTAGTCTAGTTCCATGATTTTTGTTAACGAAATAGTCGGACATTTTGGGGAAAATGCTTATCTGCTTTCTTACAGAGAGTTAGCTGAGAAGATTGATAACACTGTCATGTCTTTAGGGTAAACACAAAGCTACAGACAGCAGCTGGTAAGCTTAGCTTAGCATAAAGACTGGAAACAGGGAGAAACAGCTAGCCTGGCTCTGTCCAAAGGAAACAAAAGTAACTTCCTCAAGTCTCCACTAGTTGCAACTGCTTCCGGCAAAGAAATAGTAAACTCAAGTAAATCCACAAAAAAGCAAATAAGCATATTTCCCAAATGTCTGTCCTATAAAATAATCCTATAATTTCTTTAAAAAACATTGGTTTGTTCTGAAGGTTTGATTGTATAAATGTATTTCTGCTGGATTTTCCAAGTCTAGACATATTTTGCAAAGAAACTGGTTCATATCTCTTGCCATCAGCAGATGATCATTATACATCTAACACAGTGTGTCCAACTTCATCAGTCCATCATAATTTAACTTATTGCGTTACTCTTTTTTGTACCTCAGCCTGTTTTTCTAGCCGACTTCAAACAGATCAAGAAAATACAATGCTTATCTCAGAGTGACGGCAAGGCTCTCTTGAACCTCGAAGTAGAGGGGGCCAGACAAGTAAGTACCATAACAACACTATCTATGTATTATACAATGATGATTACTTTGCACAGAATCAGAAGAGCTAAGATTAGCAAGTACGTTTACTATAGAGAGTGTTTGCACAGGAAATTTGACCCGGTACATGTGCTTACATTGTCATTGCCTGTTTTTTCTTCCTTCTGATAGCGGCTATCGATCAATGTGGCCACAGTCCCTATGGCAGAGAACATGATGGACCTTATTGATGGGTACTGCCGCTTGGAAAATGACAGAGATGATTCGGTTATCCACCGACCAAATAAAGGTGTGTACGACACAGCTACTCCCCCTTTTGCTCTTTCAATATAACTATGGTTCAAGCCTACAATAAAAGCCATGAATAGTATTGTTGCATACCCGAAAAACTTTTAATGTGTATTATTTCAACTTAATTGGAACTATTTTAACTAATTTCACCCCTAGATGTCAATGCACGAAGCTCCCTACCTGAGATTCCAACAGAGTGAGTGGATTTTTAGCTTTTTTACAACTTTGAATGATTTGTGCCCTCTCTCAGCCTTGGTGTAGCTGTTGAGTCCAAGCTGTGCTCACTCCCTCTTTGGTTGTAATATGAAATGAAAAGTTAGAGTTATCGATGAGAAAGGCTCTTTCATTGAATCACTCTGTCAGCTCTCTGGGGAGACGTAATTTGAAGATTTATGACTGGGGCTTTCTCTCATTCTGTTTTTTCTCTGCAGCAGCAGAGACACCAGCAGCTCGACCAGACACAGTATGGGTGAGCTGACGGTTTTCATAGTTTTACACAACTTCCGTGCATAATACAAAACTTTTATGTCATTATCTTACAAGTACAAGTAAAAGCATATTGATAAAAGCAGTGAGGTTAAGATCAAGTTGATCAAGTTCTTTCTTTTATATTTTCAGGGTCTGATATTTATTGTGAGATTCTGGATGAACGGCCAAAATCAGGTTTGCTGAAAGTTTGTTTTGCAGAATAATAACGTTGCAAAATCACTTTTCTTTTATTGAATTTAAGTCTTGTTCTGTAGTTGTTAAGTACGGGATCGACCGAAATGACATTGTTCTGGGCCGGATCCTTGGTGAGGGGTTTTTCGGGGAAGTCTACGATGGAGTTTACAAAAAAGATGTAAGTGTATCTCCCTAGTTGAATTATATCAAAATAATAAGTTATATAATATAAATATAAAACCTACATGTTGACTGTCGATTAATTGATTAATTAAATAAATTGTGTGGTCTATAAATTGTTAAAGAAAAACCTGCCTGTCTAACCAACAGTCCAACCTCCCAAAATACAAGTTTAGCAGAGCATGTTTGGTGTTTTTGCTTGTAAAATTACTTAAACAATTATCAAAATATCAAAATAGTTGCAGATTAATTTTCTAATTTGACTAATTGTTTCAGCTCTCAAAAACAGAATGTTCAAATTACAGATTCAAACAAGCTTTAGTTTGTACAAAATGTGCTGTTTGTATAAATGTTCTTACTGCTTTCCATTAAAATGTTTAATGCATCACTGTGTCTTGTTTCGGGTGTTGATTCAACAGAATGGCGAGAGGGTTAATGTGGCAGTGAAGACCTGCAAAGACTGTTCACCTGATGTGATGGAGAAGTTCATGAGTGAAGCAGGTAATTAGAAAAATGTGTAGAAAATAACTGTCATAACAATAACTATGACAATATGATTAAAACGTGTGAACTTTGTGTATTTGCCAGTAATTATGAAGAACCTCAATCACCAGCACATTGTCAAACTGATTGGAATCATAGAGGAGGATCCTGTGTGGATTGTCATGGAGCTTTATCAGTATGGAGAGGTAAGTCTTAATTTCATGATTTCTTTTTCCGTTTTAACACAGAACTGATATTAGTTTGAGAGGACATTACTCTGCTCAACAGGATTCACACAATAAAGGCCTACTACCCACTGAAATCTTGCACACTTCTGGCATGAGTCATGTCTGATCATGTTGCAGCTGGATTCATGCATGACAGAAAGTGTGACAGAAACTCTGTAAGCGAATTCTCTTCTTAACTTTTACGTTGGCATTCTTGCAGCTTGGGAACTACCTAACTCAGAACCAGAACAAGCTGACAAATATAACTCTGGTGCTGTTCAGCCTGCAGATCTGCAAAGCTCTTGTCTACCTCGAAGGGGTCAACGTGGTACACAGGTGAGACACTGTATTCTGTGTGTCGCTATCCAGAAAGTGATACTGATAATGTCTTTTGTCTGTGCTGTTAGGGAAAAAACAAATAAACAAAAACAGTCATGACTCCCGATCGATTTGTCAAATTGTCAACCTTCTGTAAACTGATGGAGCCATATTGTAACATATGTATGGGACATGTGTATGTGAATAATGCAAGTTGAGGGCTAATTGTGCTCTATCAAGTTAAATAAACTGATTCCAAGTTTTCAAAAACTAGTAAAAGAAGTAAAAGCAAGGCTTTTTTAAATCAGGGATGATGAAGTTGTAACTTTGACAACAGTACTAAGTCACTGTGACCAGCTCATCCATGCTGATTTTGTATGAAGAGATAATGATTGATCTGTGCTGAAGCTGTAATAATTTCCTTAGGTAGGAGTAACAGGTCTTTTATATAATGAATTAGGTCTTTTGTTACTCTCATAAGAAAAGAGACACAGCCTGTAATGTTCTGGGCTGATGACGCCGAGTTACAGTATCTTCTTGAAATCATTTTAACTCTGAGATCTGATCAGATTTTCTTGTGTTTGCTGCACAAGTTGCAGTTAATTCACAGGGACGATGAGGAAAAAGGCAAGTTGACAGTCCTATTAATAGATATAGCTATAAAAGTTTAAAAAAACAAAGATAGCGACAATAGCAGACTTTTTTTATTTATACTTATAAATATTCATACTAACATTACAGAAAGTTGACACAGAAAACACATTTCACTGAGTTGTTTCTGCAGAGCGGCCACTCGTGGATTCAATCTCCCGTGAAGAATAAACACAGAGAAAGGAAATTAGTTTCTGCCCGTGTGGAAAATGCAAACATTCCTTCTGTAGGATTCTCTGCTTCAGTCTGGCAGCGCCGCAGAAATGGAGAGGACAACAGGTCAATCAGTGAGGGCTTAAGGTCATGTAAGAGACTCTGCTCTGCCCATAAAACGCTCCTTTTTTGTCTGTTTTACTCGTGTTCTGTCACAGAGACATTGCAGTTCGGAACATATTAGTCGCCAGTCCAGACTGCGTGAAACTCGGAGACTTTGGTCTGTCGAGATACATTGAGGATGAAGAATACTACAAAGGTAAGAGAGGCACTTAGGAAAATAAATGCTGATTAGACTTTGTTTCTTGGTTGCTTAATTGTCTAAATTGTAATATATTTTACAATTTGTCAGATTAAACAGAATCACACAGGAAAAAAAAGATTTATTCTTGGTAAAATAGACAGACTAGTAAAGAGGGAACATAAAATAATATAGTTAGCTCTTTATATTCCTGTTCAAAACTGAAAAATGTTGACCACAAAATACAAATGTCTCCCATTTCTTCGCAGCGTCTGTTACTCGGTTGCCGATCAAGTGGATGGCCCCAGAATCCATCAACTTCAGACGTTTCACCACAGCCAGTGATGTTTGGATGTTTGGTGAGCATGTGCTACTCTAAAATACAGTACAACAGCTCATAGCAAAGACATGTAGGGGGTTTCAGGCACAACAGAGGAAAGCACACGCATCTTAGATCTTGCTCTTCAGGTGTGTTTACTTCTACTTCTCTGCAAAAAAAAAAAAAGAAACACTTGCATATTTTGATCTGTGAGGATGGATGATCTGTTTAGATGTTTAGGCCCCCCTGAGAGGTAAAAGCAAACAAGGCATAACAGCCGTTATGCCAGCTCTTTATTATTCATATTCCTGTTGCAATAACACTGGCTTGTATGCAGGAAATACAAAGAGACAATTTGAATTTCTGGAACATAAGCAAACTTTCTATGCTTTCTGTTTCCAAGGCATAGAAAAAGTGAACGACTAAAAACAAGGTGGCAATTTGAATGTTTTGCTTTTGACCATAAATCAAACACATTATTGCCACACGGTCGCAGCAAATCTCAGCTATTTTCTTATGAACAAAGTTTATGTGATTGTAGGTCTGGATTAATTATTCAATTAGTAGATACCAACAGCACCAGGAGAGGCCTCCATGCTGCTCTATGTCCTTTCTAATGCACAAACATAGACTCATCCTCAGATTTTCCCTTTTGTCCGTGTTTCTCTGTGTTTGCATTGCCCGATAGCTGTATGTATGTGGGAGATCATGAGTGTTGGCCAGCAGCCGTTTTTCTGGCTTGAGAACAGAGACGTAATCAACCAACTGGAGCAGGGCATCAGGCTGCCCAAGCCAGACAACTGCCCCCCTGCCCTCTACTCACTCATGACCCGCTGCTGGTCCTACGACCCCAGAGAGAGACCCAACTTCACTGAGCTGGTGGTCAAGATCAGGTATGTCTTCATTAAATACAAAAAGAGAGCTCTACTTTAACATGACTGATTGCACAGAATGAAAATAAACTGAGACTTAATTGAGATTAATTAAAGCCCAGATAGTCGAATCAGAGCACAGCTACAAGTTGGATCTATGGTAATTTCCTTTCTTCATAATTTTCTACACAATATTGATGTAAGACAAAATAACAGTTCATTGTAACAAATAAATGTTACCTTTCTCATAAGTTAATGTTGTGTGTCTCTTAATTGAAGATTTCCATTGATGCAAATGAATTGAATGTACTGATCCAACTATCTTCTCAGAGCAGGTTCAGTATAGAAGAAGTTAGTTCAAATTGTAAAAACTAAGATGGCAGGACAAACATTAAAGATATAATTTAATATAGGTATGTAGCTCATGGGGTGTTTTTTTTTAACCTCTCACACGATATAACTCGTCTCTCTCCTCTCACTCTTTACAACAATCTCTCAGTGATGTCCACAAAATGGAGAAAGAGCAGGAGGTGGAGAGAGAGAGGGACAGAGCGCGCTCCACAAAAATGTTTGACACCAAGTTCAACTTTACTGAACCTCCTCCCAAGGTGTGAAACCCTTCAGCCGCTGTTACATGTACAAAACATGCACATTATTCAAATTTAAAACATGGACCCGTGCATGTTTTAATATATCTTTTCTATATTTACTGTAGCCATCGAGAATGAAACCAGGGCGGTTTGGGAACATGCTCAGTATTGGTCTACACATTCAGGTACAGTAGTGAAGTACTAATAGTGTCTGTTTCCTCCAACACGACAGGCTTTAATTCAAAAAGATGTTTATATAAGTTATGTCTGTGTGTATCTGTGCAGCTGAACGAAGCTTTGTGTGCCAGCTCTCCTGACCTGGCCAGCCCATGTGAATACCAGTCCCCTGTCGACTCCATGAACAGTCTTGCGGTGCCAGTCAGGTCCCCTCGTCGTCGGAGTGTGGGGGTAAGAAATACTCTTACATTTTCTTACATCTGAAGTCACATGTTCAAATGTCGATAAACCTGAAATTCTAAAGCACTACATCGAAATTGAAATGTGAATGTGTGCGACCAAAAGAGGCTTGTGTTAACCCATCATGCTTCTGTTACGCCTCGCTGATTGTAGGAGGGCGAGTTTCTCCGAGTGGAAGCAAACAGCAGGGAGGACGCCCAGCGCCTGTGGCAGAGGGAGAAGCAGCACATGCAGGACACTCTCCGCCAGCAGAAAGAGCAGATGATGGAGGATAAAAAGTGGCTGGAGAAGGAGGAGAGACTCCTGGTGGGAAACAGAGCATCATTAACTTTTGTCAACCCCCTCTCTGTGTCTCTATGTGACCCCGCTACCAAATTCAACATGGCCGTGGAGGCTACGGTGAACGTGGCGTCGTTAAACAATATCAACCCACTCGTTCACTCCCGACGCCCCACTAGTCTTAAATTGAATGTTCCCCTGATAACAGTTCCAAAGAGGGGGTCCATGTCCATATTCTATAACATAAACCTGTCTGTTCTTTTGCAGGACCCCATGGGACCAGAGGACACTGCCAGCCCAGTGGTAGGTGTCCGCACGTGCTAACTGTGACTGTGAGAGAGAATCACATTTCTTTGTGTTTTGCTTTTGTTTTTTCTTTGGCAACATGTTCTTCTTATTCCCATTGGACAAGTGACCAAATGTAGTCAGCATGATGCCACACAACATGTAGTTTGTGTAGTCTGCATGATATTTCAAGTGCACCTACAAAGCAACAGTAACGTAACCTTGATTATTTAAATTGGAAATCAGTGAAAGAGCAATGATTACAGTTTGTGATCACTGTAAAGGGGAAGACTGTATGTTAGTGATCACAAATACTTTAACTGATGCTGTTTACCATAAACTTCACATATTGTTCTTTATGAAAAGGAATTGTGTGACATATATAGGAAACTACCAACTGAAAAACAGGAGGCACATTTAGTGAAATTTGCTAAATTTAATAACTTGGAATTGAGTGATTGTCACAGATTGGGGATATACAACAGTGTAAATGAACAGGGGGAACTTTTCCTTTAAACTTTGTGTTTCTGTACAGTTTTCTTAGTTTTTATTTACTGTATATCAAAGAAAAAGACAAGTCTGATATGAGTTCTGCTGTTTACTAGGATTAACCTTCTGCGTAGTGTTTGTGAGCTATTGGATATTCTGACAGTGACACTTCAGACAGGATGTTTATATTTTCTAGTCCTCATGAGATCTTTTGTTCTTTTTAGTTGCCTGAAGCTGAGGCCGAGAATGGTAAGTGCTTAAAGGAAATTCGCAAATCCAAATTATATTCTGATTCATTCTGAGTGTGACTATTCCTCTCTCTCTCTTTCTCTGCCTCACATATTGTTCTTCTTTCTTCCCTGCAGCACCTCCAGAGAAGCCCCCACGGCTCACAGCACAGGTAATTATATCAGTTCATTTCTGTATTGCTTTATCTTTTAGCCCTCTGTAAAGACCATTTAATTATATTAGCTTTGATTTTTAGATAAAAACTAATTCAACAAAGTAAAATTAGCCTTTAGTTGGAAGGGCATTGATGCCATCTTGCATTTAAAATGGGGTCCAGTGATCCTGAGGATTTTAATTATTCAAACACATTATTCTCTCTTCCTTAGCCGACGCCCACAGCGGAGCTGGACCGCTCTGACGACAAAGTGTATTCGTCCGTTATGAATCTGGTCAAAGTTGTTGTCCAACTAAAGAATGACATCCCCGAACTGCATCCTGAACAATATATCACCATTGTCCAGGTACACCGAGACAAATCTGTTTTTCACTTTTACAATTTTACAGTTTGTTGTTGATTTAGAGGCAAATTTAAGGTGTATGAATTGTAACTGAAGACAAACCTCTTAAGTCATACAGCTGATTAATTCTCTGCATTGATCTCTGCCCTCAGTCTGTTGGGATGGCTTTACGAGATCTGATTCGCAGTGTGGATGACATACTGCCCACCTTACACAAGTCTGTCAGGACTGAGGTACAGTATATTGTCTGCAGCTTGTTTGCTGTGTTCCCCCCGCCCCCCCCCGAAGCTGCAAAAAGTGACAGAACTCCTCTTCAAACACAAAGAGGAAATTAGCATTTCATGTTTACTCTCCTGGCTGAGGACACCAAAAATCCATAGCTTGCATATTCTACAAAGACATATTTATCAGTTTATTATGTAGGGTACAAATAATTTTTAAATTGATTTGCATTTCTTGCTTACTTTAAACAACACAGTGCCTTATTCACAGCACACATTTGGCATAACACACTAGGAAAAGTACAGGTGTTACTAATAACATTAATCATGGTTCTGCTGTATTCAAATGTCCAAGTAATTGGTGTGACAGCATAGACAATACCAGGACCCTGAAACAGAACCAGCTGATTAGAATTCAGCCATCATTAATTCCTTGTCAAAATGTCTCCCACGAGTAAGGCCAATAGCGCCCATCTAAAAAGTCACCCATTATGTTCGTTTGCCATCCCCACAGATCGAGGGCACCCAGAAGCTGCTGAACAACGACATGGCGGAGCTGATCAGCAAAATGCGACTGGCCCAGCAGAATGCCATCACTTCTTTGAAGGAGGAGTGTAGGAAACAGATGCTGGCTGCAGCGCACAATCTGGCTATGGACAGCAAGAACATGTTGGATGCCGTGGACCAGGCCAGAGTGAGGGCCAACTTAGCCAAGCCAGTGGCCCCTTAGTGGACACATTAAGTTTAGAATCCGACTTTTTCAGTCAGAAATAACATTTGCACACAGTCGTTTTCTGGAGTCATCATACCTGTAAATGGATGTTTTAATTTTAAATATGATACTACAATGGAGGAAAACTAGATGTTTATGCTTAGCAAGGTAGCATGTATACTGAAATTAATGGTCTGTTGGCACCGTATTTAGCATGCTGTCACTTCAGACATTTACACATGTTCTCACTTGTGGTTGTGTATTTGTCTTAATTCTGCTCAGAAATGTAATTGTAAATATAAAATGGATCTGATGACAAGTACAAGAAGTTTTATCGCAGAGAAAAGGAAAAAGTAACGTAAAGCAAATTAAAACACAAGTAATTGTTTACTAAACCTGTCAGTAGTAACCTAAATATATATATTTGCGTTGATAGTATTGATAATGATCATTTGGGTTTTCTTAGGTGACACAATAACAGCAACACCTGTACAATATAATTTTTTCCCAAGCAAAAACGCAACTATTTGTTGCTATTACAACACAGTTGAATCAACACCTATCTGATGCCATCCTATTAGAAGCTGTGCAAGTTGTATGGCTGTGAATTAGTTTGCATTATAATGTGCAGTTGATGCCTTCACTTTTTTCCCTCTGCAGCACTATAGCATTGTTTGAACATGCAGTGCATAAACATATTGACCTGGTAGCAATAGTTAATTATGTGTGTGTTTTTTTTGCCGCCACTCAATAAATGCTATATAGACTTTTAAAGGTTTTCATGAGGGTATTTATTACATAGTATGATCATTCCAAAATAAGCGTAATCATGGCAGCATGGCCAGAAAACTTTAAAAAAAACAAACAAAAGGAAATTTGAGCACACATGACCCCATTTAGTGTGTCCAGTATACTATAGCACAGCATGCCACTTAAAGGTTGAGAAAAGCCATCCCATTATAGGTGGGACGAAGTTTCAGTTTGTGTCACTGTGTCATTTGAATGACACTAACAACTTGGATGGATTGCCAAGAAATTTGGTACATTAACTTTCCCCAGAAGATGAATCCTAATAACTTTGATGGCTCCATTACAATGCCCTTGAATGGGCACAACCAACGGATCTACTTCAGCTCATGACTGGATACCTCAAAGTACTGAAATAATTCCTGTCAGCATCAGTATTTTTAGACTAATGCTGCGGACTAATGTTTGGCAAGTTACTTGAAAAATGTAATCAAATTGATTTGTTATTGGTAATTGAAAATGTAACCACATTAATGTACTAGCACTGTAACTAAACACTAGTTACTCAGCTCATTCTATATATCCTAGATATGAGGTATAGGTACTTCTAAGTACTTTGGTCTGCAAACGTTATTGAAGTTGAAACTGCAATTCCTCAAACTACAGAAAAAAGTAGTCATATTACTATAACATACTATCATTTCTTAGCATTCTAACATGCCAAATCTTAGGGGCTAAACATCAGGATGCTAACATAAGTAAACAGTTCCCAATAAAAGTCTGGGCATGTTAGCATGCTAATGTTAGCATTGAGGTCAACCTAAGTAACATTATTAATTTGGTTTAGCGTTATAGCCTCATGAGGCCGCTAATGTAGCATGTTACGCGTCACATTCCCAGTCTTGAAGTAAGAGTTCAGCTACGTTTTGAACTTCACTAACTAGTGGTGATTACTTTCTCACCAGAGCTATATCATGCCAGCTAGCCAAGGGGGTAGGAATAGGCCAATGGTCCCAAGCAGGCACACAATAATGAACATCCACAGGAAGATGCGGTCAATCACCATGGCGACATACTTCCAATCCTCTTTGACCTGTGTAGAATTAAGAACAACAGAAAAGGACAGAAAGAAAGAAAGAAAGAAAGAAAGAAAGGGTAAAGGTACAGATATGAAACTCTTACTGTGATGTTCATAGTTTGCTTTGAAATGGATCTTAGTAAAAGTTCAATCAGGATCACCACCATTCACAAACATGCTGTCTCCTTACGCTTGTATATTTCTTGCATTGACTTGTTCCAACTATTCACTATCAGCCAATATTATTTTCTTATGTCATCTTTGTGTAGCCAGACTTATAATTGTTCCCTAATGTGCCCCACTTTCACTTGTCGCTCTGATTTTGGTCTCTACCAACTCCTGAGAGCCATATCTGGCTTTTTAGCTAGTCTCTAACTGTGTCTGTCTGCCATTTGGTGTTGAGCAGACAGTCTACAGTGGGTTTTTAAGCTTTTCACTGAAAACAGCTGCCCACTGCAGCAGAAAGTTACAGGCCAGACAGATAAACAGTGAGAAACCCATTATAAAGCTCCTTAAAGTTGGAGCTTCAGATTCAAATGATAATTCTCTGTAGGTTCATACCTACAAGCAACTAATTTCACATTGTTTTTACATGATCATTGTTCTGTTATTATAAAATATCGGCTTATAGCTGCTTTAATGGTGAATCATTAAGTAATTTATTTTAAAAAAAGCCAAATAATCTCTGGGTCCAGCTTCTTAAATGTGAAGTTTAACAGCTGTTCTCTATTTTATATAATATCTATAGAATATGTTTGGATTTAGGAATACCTCTCTTTCATTAGTCTATCCCAGTTATTTCATTATAAGGTTAAGTACGTTTTTCCTCCGTTTTTAGTGTATGAGAACAGTACAACTGCAGGTGTTTGTCACAGGGCTGTTGGTAAGCTGATTAGCATGCACTGTGTTTAGAATCAATAGACTTCACATATGCTGGGCAAGAGAAAATACTATGACTTGACGAGAGCTGTAAGTTCATTTTTGGCATTCAGTACATCCACATGGGCACATAATCAATTTACTATGAGGAAGTGGGATGAAATAAATCATGAACATTTGCAGGCCAGCTGTGATACAAGTGCATTTTACAGTAAGTGCCATTCTGATAATAATAGATGTGGTACTGATTGATACTCACGCTGAAGTCAGCATCCTCGGCCCTCAGATGGTCTGCGATGTAGTGCACCCCTTCCAGAGCGCGTATAACACTTGGTGAAAGCAGGAATGTTGAGTCTGATACTTTATTATCAGCTTTAGCTGGCCTCTGAGTGGGATTGACCCTGGGCCCCGTTAACTGTCTGTTTGCCACTGCAGCCCCCTCCTGACGGTTCTGGCTGTTCTGTGGGGTTTTCTGTTGTGGAGGAGGAGTCGACCCTGGAGGTCTGGGCGAAGGAGGACGGAAGGAGAAATACGACGTCAGTGTCCCCAGCTCTAAATCCTCGTAACTGCTTCTCTCTGGGTCGTCTGATGTGGCCCCATCTCTTAACCAGTTAGCTGAGGTGCTGAGGCAGTCAGACTTGTACGTGGCTATCCGGCCCTGCCGCTGCTCAGCCACAGCTGCCTGCTGGAGCAGCAACAGCCTGCGACGCCGGCCATCTGGCGCAGGCCGTCGCATGAACAGCCAGCGCGGGATCAGGTCCAGGAACACGGAGTGGACCCAGCGGGGCATCTTGTGAGTGCTGGGAGACCGATGGTGCACGTTGAGCACAAACACGGTGATGACGATGGAGAGGGTGACAAAAATCATAGTGAAGAGGAGGTACTCGCCGATGAGTGGGATAACGAGGGACGTGGACGGTATGATCTCTGTGATGAGGAGAAGGAAAACAGTGAGGGACAGCAGCACGGAGATGCACAGGGTGATCTTCTCACCACAGTCTGAGGGCAGATAGAAAACTAAAACAGTGAGGCAAGAGATGAGCAAACAGGGGATGATGAGGTTGATGGTGTAAAACAACGGAAGCCTTCGAATGATGAAGAAGTAGGTGATGTCTGGGTAGATCTCGTGGCAGCAGTCGTATTTCTTTGTGTTATATGTTCCCACGGCATTGATGATGGCCCATTCACCGCTCTCCCAGTAGTTGTTCAGGTCCACAGTGTTTTCAATCCGCTCCAGATCGATCTTGGCCTTGTCATATGTCCAGGAGCCAAATTTCATCTTGCAGTTCTGCTGATCAAAGGGGAAAAAGGTGACGTCGATGCTGCAGGAGCTCTTATAAATGGCAGGAGGGACCCAGCGAACTTTACCAGTGTGGAATAGGTGAGCTTTCGTCATGTGGGTCACAGCAAACTCACCGTCAGCGCTGGAAGAGCAGAAGTAGTCACATGAGTGACGGTGACATAAAGTATGAGAGAACAGCTTTAAATACCTGAGAACAAAGGCAAAAATATCAGAAAAACAGTCACACCCTGAAACTCCTTTTGAGAAAAACTGTGGAAACTACACAGTGAAAAAGTCCTATGATATCCCAATAATAATCTTCTCCACTAATCTCCCCTCCATTCATTGTTTTAATTGTGATAATAGCTTCTGCCACAAATGTAATGATGATCCTTATCATTTTCATCGCTTTCACACCTTTTTTAATTTCGCTTACAGATTGTGATTACACAGAGTCGATGGAGCAGAACTCCATCGTAAACCGTCTCAGATGAATCTCCGTGAGGTGAAATTAGGGGAAGGGAGAGGTTTTTAAATCTCTTTTACAATGGATTCACACTGAAGCAATACACATAAACTGTACCAACAGACAATGACAGAGATGCACAGTAACAAATAAAGTTAACAGAAATGTTTAACATAGTTCACAATTTGAGACAGACAGCTGAGCAGATTGTGTTTTAGGAATTCCACTAGATGGCGCCATCTTCACATACCATCTAATAAAGCTTCATCCATTTAAACCAATTTATCATTGTATGTTTGTCTGCAGCTCTGTTACAAGCACCCACTGTAGCATGTTATGAAAAATACACTTATATTACCTTTACAGTACAGCAGATAGACTGTGTTGTATTGAGCTGATCATGAAACTTAAATAACATGCTTGTGTTAAACACAGCTGAACAGAGCTGATTAGCTGGTCAACAATAACATTAATCGGCAATCATTTAAAAAATCAATTGACCATTTTTAGATGAAATAATTAATGAATTATTCATTCATTCTTATTAATTCAAGAGAATAATCAATCGTTAGTTGCTATAATTAAGGTTCTCTCTTACTCTTCCTGTTGTGTTAGTCTCATACCACACATACTTGTTGTAGAGGACGATGTCGGGTACCCATATGAGCTCCGACGGGACTCTGATGGACGTCACATTGTCATAGTCAGACGGTCTCCAGCGAAGTTTGTAGTCATTCCACTCCTGGGACATACAAACAACAGTGATACCTTTAGGGGCTGTGATCCTTTACTTAATTGTCATATAACTTTAAGAACTTGAGCACTGTTAGGGTAGGGTTTTTATATATATTCTTAACATTGTGTATCACCACGAAAAAAATACATCTCAATAATAAATCAACACTGACACAAATATTTCTGACCTGTTTCAGCCACACATTGGTTGTCATCATTTGGTTCTTCTCATCCTAGCAGACAGACAGACAGACAGATAGACAGACAGACACAGAGACAGAGTTAAGGCTGTCAACTCTGGGTTCAGGCCATAAGAATCTATGCGAGAGGTTCGTGGAGGTTTGTCAGAGCACACCCAAATATAGCTCGCAGCAACTTTACTTCAATAACTTGATGGATGTGAAGGTGCATAATCAAGTTTTCCTAAGTTTGCTTTTGCTGCTGAATGTGAAAATGCAAAATCATACTGTTGAAAAAAACCACATGTAGTGTAAAACATACAAGGTAGAAGGATTTCAGTTGCAGTGCCTTGGGTTTCGCTAACTAGGGAGTATTAATTATACTAATTAAAGCTCTAGGAATAAGTTGTTGCACTTAAAATGTCTTCTACTCAGTCTGACCTTGAAAATTTGTTCACATGTATCTGAATGGATATATAAAAATCCATGTCTTTAGTAAAAGAGCTTTAAACAGACAAACTGCTTTTAATCAGAGAGAAAGGCACAGAAATGAGATCGTCCTATTATGAAGTTGGTTCACATTAAAAGCAACAGCTTCCACTTGTGTTCAAATATCACCTCTCTTAATGCCCTCATGTTCCCCTCACTCACCACGTCGATGAGCTGCGCTATGGACAGTCCAAACTTGACGATGACCACATCGGAGATGTTTGGCACGGGTCTGGACCACTTGTTGTAACCAACGAACAGCGTCTTGAAGAGATCATCCTCAGCGTGCGAGTGGGTCTTCTCGTCACAAAGAGCTGTAGATACATTATTCATTTTAATATAAAAAGTCTTCTTTTAAGTGTTAAACATTTATAGAGGGCAGATACAATATGAGAGTAATGGAATTTATAAATTGGTCACATTTATTCAACTCTGTGCAAATGAAATTCCAGTTTCTATTAAATTTCACTCACTTTAAATATGCCGTTAATAGATCTATAAAATATTTCTTGAAACAATCTCTCTTGGAACCCCAATGTGGAGTTTTTCAACATTTTAATAAGCTAATATGACACTGTAAAAGTGTTAATGTAACTGATGTTAGCACAAATGTCCTTTTGAAATTTTCATTGACACCAAGGTTAGCAGTTAATATTTGATGGTGTAATATATAAAGAATGTAACAATTACATTAAAAGTACTGTGGAAGAGGACAGGAGTAAAGTGCACAGGGAACGATGGGATCATATCCATGTTCTCTCATCCGTGTCTCCCCTAATCCTCACTTAACCAACAGCCAGTAAATCAGGTTGGCATGATATTGTGGCTTTTGGGAGTGAGGGTTGTGAACATCTCGTGTTTCAGCCCAGAAGCCAGCTCTAAACATCTAAGAGTTTTCTTTGTAAAGTCTTATTGACTTTTCCACATCTTAGCAAATCTTTTGATCTTTTGATCTGAGCTCCCCACGAGGGTCGCCTGCTAAAATCTCTCGAGGTGAGCGGGGTGAGTCCGAAGAAGTACTTCTCCTCCCTCAACAACATTTCAGCTATAACCTCTTTCTTTACCTCTGCAGTGTTTTTAGAATGTATCTGTGGCTACGCAACGAGATCTGGCTTAATCAAATTGATTTTGAATATGCAGTCTAGACAGATTTGCGTACAAGCTCAGACTGAGTCACTGTATTATTTTTCTGCAGAATGAATTGCATGGAAACAGACAGGAATCCCATCCCTTGGGGATTACCGCTTCCACCTTCATCAGTGTAGACAGAGTCAATTACACACATCATTACTTGCTTGAGTTAAGTGGAGGTGAGCTAATTTCTCACTAGTGAAGGGTGTTTATTGTCGAGCTGTCTGTCACTCTGTGTTACAACGGATGCATAAAACAATTAACTGACAGCTGAAGCAGAGGTTGACGATAGTGTGTGTTTGCATCTGTGTATATTATATTCGACCGATAATGTTTGGTACCAATATTTAAGATGTCAGAGTTTAAAAAGTCTTATGAATATTATATTGCCAAATTTAGTTTTTAATATAAATACAGAACTAAAACAAAATTTCCCCCAAGGATCCCTTAAATTAGATTTTCTGAAGAAAGAAAAAGGAGTGCCCTGTGGTTGGCACACTAAGTACAAACCCATGTAATGGCTTCAGTGTTTCTAAACAACCTCAAACATATATTTGGCATTACTCCTTGTTACTACCTATGGGCTGGTATCGTATGGATGATAACAACATATCAGCAATAAGCTCAATCAGGCTTCAACGTACAGTAATGGACCGGCATTAGTCATTATCCTGGACTGACATTAAAGTAATGGTTCCACGCACACTTATTCACTTTAATGCTTGAAAATTAGATGAGATGATTGGTGCCACTTTCATTTCTGTATGGTCAATATGAGGCTGGAGCCAGCAGCCGGTTAGCTTAGCTTAGCATAAAGTCTGGAAACAGCAGGAAACAGCAAGCCTCGCTCTGTCTGCAAATCCTTTGAAACTAATTAAAACGTTATATCTTGGGTCCGTTAATTGTACAACTTGTAAAAGGTGTGCTTGGCAACATCAATGTTTTTATACTACTTAACAAATGCATTATTCCCTGTTTAATGAACGGATCTCACAATATAACAAATGTCTCAAGACAGCTTCTGTCAAGAGATTTATGTCAGTACATGTAAAGCATCACACCAAAGCCTCGATCAATATAAAGAATCAATATTTTAAAAATCTATTGAGATTGGGTGTTCATGCCATTTATACTCACACCATCTGGATGTGCTGTTTGACAGTGTGAGGGTATAATGCAACCAAAGTGTGCTTCCATCAAGGATCCTAAAATGAGGCCTTGGACCACCTGCATCTGGCTGCAGTCATGGTTGCTTAGCCAAGGCCGCATCATTACCTGTCCATGGGTGAGTTGTGGTTCCGATGGGCACATTGACAAGTATTTACAATCCATGACTGTAGGACAGTCCAGTGGAGGATAATCAGGTGAGAGGCTTAAAGGTTGCATAGAGCTAACCTGAGGGATACATGCAAATCTGTTTATTTGATTTAATGCCCTGCTAATTCTTTAGCTTGAGGGTCTTTACCAGAGAAAGGCTGAGGAAATATGTAGATGCAAAGCCCAACAAGACTCTACGCAACACAATAATCTTACATATGTGGTCTATAGATATCATGTGAGGTGACTATTAAGAGATGATTTGCCCATGGTACTCCTGGGCTCCTCTCCTGCCACCATGAACTAATTTCATTCTGGCAAACAAGCAGACACCAGAGACTTCTTATCTGTTCTCTTGACAGTCAGGGCGGCACATGTTCATCTGTCCATGCATCTGGGAAGGACCAGATGTGGGGCTTGAAAAAAAAAAAGGCTCTCAGGTGCCATAGATCAAAGCCTCCTGCCAGCGGAGACTTGAAATGAGATGACACCTCCAACATCCAGCACACTGGGCTGTGGATGTTGGACCGTGGCCAAGTCCCTTGGCAAGAGGTGTATGAAACACTGACCAGTTTGGATGATCGAGTCAGCAGCTTCTCAGGCCAGAGGCGCTCTTGTGAAATTGGGCTGTCATATACAGTAAAAAGTTTGCAAAAAAAAAAAAAAACATGCAACAATTTTTGCGTGACTTGACTAAAACTGACTCAAGACGGAAAGCTGAACTCATAATGAGTATGAGTGTGTTGGCACGAGATCAAGCACCTGCACATCTGATTGCTGGAGCATGTGAAGATGGAGGGAGGGGAGATAGAAGCTACAGCGCATTTGATTTCACAGTGTACGCTGTGTTTTAAAACCCTCTCTCACGTCAATACAAGGAGACATATGTTGCCTTAGATCTCTGAGTGAGCTCTGGTTTGTGCACGCAAATATTGCTTGCATTTAAGTGGAAGGAGAAGGCAGACGTGGCCACGTAGGAGCTTCTGAATCCACTTCCAAATGGAGCTGCCCCAGTTCCACTGTCAAACCTTGATGGATGTAAAGTCGCACTGAAATTTTGCATCATTTCCGACAGTTTCCACAAATGTGTCCACAAAAAAGGTATTATCCAATTGAAAAATGTGCGCAATAGATGCAGTATATATTTTTATTTTCTAAAACAAAAATGAGAATTCAAATTTCAGCTCTAAATTCTGACTATAAATATGCATTTTTTTGTCTTGTCCATTACTGATTTTGAGAAAAGAAAATCTCACAATTAACACCCACTGAAAATATAACTATACTAAGCTGTTGCACATTGGATAGAATATTTTTTCACACTGTTCTGAGGGACTTTTCTGCTTTTGGTAAGTGTACTGGTTCTATTGGCAGTTTCTACATTTACATGGCTAAGGATACCAAACTCTCAGGTGGTAACAGGGAATAAAAGAGCTTCTGTATTTTGTGAATATGATTCATTAAAACTAAAAAGAAGTGAACATGAAGTGAAAGACAGAGTGCTCCAGAGATAATTATGGCAAGATGTGACACAAACACAAAGAGTACCATGGCACGAGAGTTGTGGGTGAGGACTGACCGGTAAGTTTACATTTTGCCATTTTTTAAAGCCCAGCATCCTAATATTAATTATTATTAATTAAGTTAACCCCTTTTACCTTTTAAAACAATGTTTAATAGCACACTTATAGAGTTAGTCGCTAACTGTTAGGGTATTGTTGTGTTAAAATGTTTACCCTCTCTCTCTCTCGTTAGGAAAGCAGCAGTACAATATTTACCTGACAGGCACAGGAGGAGCGAGCAGAGAATAGCCGTCCCGACAGAGAACAGGTGGTTGTGTCCCATTTTGTACTCTGGCAGTAACGAGTCCAACTTCACCGGAGAGCACGGAGGCGTTTCCGTCCACTGTCAAAACGTTACCTTGAAACCGTGATGTGTGAGCAAAATCTGTCATCTTCGCAGCTGGGAGGCATTTCAGGACAACTTCACCGCCACTACTGTTACTACAGCGTTTATATATCTGTGGGCGGGGAGTGGGTATGACGGTACGCTGGCTGAATAACTTTACTGAAGCTCAACATCGACGTCGCCTCTTGTCACTTTGAGTCCCGATAAAGACCGGATGAGAGCGAGCACCTTTCTGTTTCCGCGCTCCTAGAGCCGCCTGTCCGCGCGCTGAGTCGGTGAGCTATCCATCACCCGGTGCTGAATGAGGGAGCGGCACTGTAACACTGTAGCTCACCTCTGGTGTGTTTCTAAGTACCAGTTCATGCCTACAAAAATCTGGCCTCAAGAAATGAAAAAAATAAAAATAAAAAAGTCCGGTTGTTGCTGTGTGTATATTATCCAAACAGTTCCGCGTTTTTTACGCACGGTGCCAAGAATTTACGCGTCCTTGGTAACCTAATCTGAGACTTTGATATCTATTGTAAATTTTAAAATGAGTTATTTTTCCACGATTAGAAGCATTGTTAGCGCCCACTCTGGTCTGTTAGGTCCGCAAAACTGCACCATCCGCTGTGAGAAGACAGGACACATCTGAGCACTGCGCGTCTTTCATCTGGTACCTATAACAGTCCCTCCTCCTTTCTCTCTCTTGCTCACTCTCTTTCACACACAGACTGAGAGAGAGAGAGGACAGGATTCACAGTAGAAGTGATTACTTGTATGTATGGGAGGTGATCGACCAGTAAGTCCAGTTAGGTCGAGTTTGCACCAAAAGGGTAAAGACAATTTATTTATTTATTTATTTTTTTAATTTTCTTAAGGATGTGACACAGGTGAACAAACGTCTTTGGGATATTTCTGTGGGAAACAGCTAGAGGGCAGACTAGGTGAAATAATATGCTTAATGAAGTTTTAGTTCCCCTAAAATATTGCTTTGAAAAGAAGATTTGAAATCAAGGCAACAAATGCAGAAAATGTGTAATCTTTCAGAAAAAACACATCAGAAGAACTTATTGTTTGTTGCTGTTTACTAGATAAAACATATTTCATATCATACATTGTACAAATTCATATTATAACACATTTTATGATTACAAACATGAAAGTATTCTCGCTCATGGGTCATGTCAGGGTGAAAAGAGAGACTAGCCCAATGGAGCTGGACACACAACTAGAGCATGATTCTCCTGTTTGCATGGGTCAATCCAGCTGAGACACACAAATATTCTTCTTTTTTAGATCCTAAAGTTTACGTTCTGTGTAAAATCTTGCAAGGAAACTTTTAAACAATGTGCAGATTCAGAGTTTCTCTGTTTTAAGAGCTTAATCAGGTTTTCTTGTGGTGTGTTTTCCTGCTTATTTCTTCCTTATCACAGGCATTGTCTCATTTTTCTTCCAATAGCTTATCCCTCATCCACAGGTTATTGCAGTTTTCTCCAAACAGATAACATTGCTTTATAACAATGATATCTCAGTTGCAGTTTTCTCTTTTTTTTGTTGCAAAAACAAAATATCTATTGGAACACACTAGTCATCCTGTCCTGGGCTCCATCCTCACCCTGGAACCAGATGGCTGATGCATGACTTCCTCTGGAGAAGACTAACAGAGCCATTATGTTTGCTCTCTGAGGGCCAATCTAGTTTGATCCATAAACACTCAACTTGGCTTAAACCTGCACCACATACTGTTGCCACATCTGACCTCACCAAATTCCACAAATAATGCCCAGATGGAAAATAATATTTTATGGGTTACGGGGTTGTAACTTCATAGAGAGAGAAAAATGTTTTTTTATCCAACAATTCTGTTTTGCTGTGTTCATCTTTTACATGATGTGAGATTACCAACAGTTGATGTAATGGCTGACCTTGACACATTGGTGTATCTCAGTACTATAAAGCACTTTTAGTTAAGTTAATAAAAAAACATATATATAAGTGCAGGAAGGTTTATTTCTCCCACAGCGTACCAAACATCATTCACAAGTTGATGACGTGTGTGCAGTGTGCAAGGTCTTTTCAACAACTTCTTTAGCGATGCACTTTGGCAATGTCTTTCAGCTGCTTGGTGAATGAAGCATGCAGGGCCTGCGATGAGATCTCCAACCTGTTGGCAATGTCTGCTGCCGCTCGGAGCATGTCTTCGAAGGCCAAGGACTCTTCTCTGATTCTGCTCCGGAAGATGACCGATCCAGGTCACCAGGTGGAGTGAATGGGAAGGAGGACGAGGGGGATATGTGGAGAGAGACAGAGTAAGTGAAAGACGAGCTGAGGACATTAAATATATTATGGGGGGGGGGGGG